CTCTGCTTGTTAACCAAATGGTATGAAACGTGAGTACCATAGGCACTCGTGTTTCTGTATCTTTGGTACGAAAACACAGGCAAGGCAACTGTTGATAATCTAACAGCTACCAATCTTTCAAGAAAATATGGTAATATATGCTCATGTATTAGTATTTAAGCTACCCCAACAATAATAGTTTCTTATCAGAAGCAAAGATCCAATCTGAAACTGATATGATTGGCTACTATTGTACTGTGTCGTTTAACATCTCTAGGCTTTAAATAACCATATCAGGAGCATATTTTGCTAGTTTGATTCTTTAGGTGGCAGACAGAGAAATTTTGTGCATAATCAAACTCTTCCAGACACACATGCTCATATGATGCCTTTTTGGCTCAATTAATTTGTACAGTTATCAATTAATACAATTTGTAAAGAATATTAATGGTCTATTTTTTTTAGGGTCATAATGGTCGATAAAGATATCACTGAAATTTCAGCACTGCGCTGTACCTTTCCAAACTCAGATATTTTATTATGCTGGTTTCATGTGCTGCAGGTAAAAGCATTGTTTTACTACCGGTAGATTAATTTATTACAAATGCTAGTGTTTCTTAATTCATACCACTCTTGGTGATGTGACCCATTGTAATGGCAGTGAGTTTATTTCCATAAGTCATACACTCAGTCGTTTGTTTCTATGTAGATTTTGCAGCGACCTTAATTTTTTTTAACATGCAGATTGTAATTCCCACATTTTTTAAATTGATATTATTAAAAATCTTCACAGTTTTTGGTTGTTCATATGTAGATTTATAATTTGCACATTTTCTAATGTTGGACATTTATTGGTTTAGTGAGTGTTGAAGTTTTGAATTTTAGTGAATGTGAACTTTTTAAACTATTGAATGAAAATATGCACAGATTTTAACCCAAAACTGATCAGGTCAATGCATAGTCCCGAAATACCTACTGTATGTACCAAGTTTTGTTGAAATCTAACCAGTGGTTCAGACAAGCATTGTGTGCAACACTGCAAATAAATTAAACAGCAATTCATTTAGTAAATGTTAAAATGTACAAATAACTTACCTTATAATGCAGGCAGTACACAGGTGGTTAGTGAAGAGAGATGGTGGTCTGTCAGGCCAGTGTAACACTGCTAAAGGAAACTTGGTGATGGAAGCCATGTATAAAATGAGGGACTGTTTAACTGTAAGTGAATATAGTGAATAGCTGATTCTGGTCATAGATAATACATGCAATTTCTGTAATTGAGCAAGCCAAGTTGTAATAGCCCTGTGCAAAAATGGAGAATTGATATTAGTTGAAGCATCTTGACTTGCCAATGTTATACTGAAATATTACACAATTGGCTACCTATATCTTTCAGGCACAATTCCATTTAATATTTTGTATGATTATATATTTATTCGACAAATTTTCTTTTATTGATATTTTATAATTAATTTGTATTTATAACAGAAGGAACAGTTTGACGAGACATCCAAGGTTGTTACAGAGGAAATTGATAATAAAGTAGGAAATACTTGTATCTCTAACTACTTGCGTGACCAGTGGATTTCCGTTGCCATAATGTGGTGTCAATTTGGGCGTAAAATGTTTCATGCAGGACACAATACCATCAATATTGCAGAAAAGTAATGGATAACTTTAAAACATAAATGTAATGCCTAGTGATTCCTTCCTTTAACGTGTAGACAGAGCAGGTACATTGAATTAGAACAAGTATTATTTCAGATAAAGCTCAGTAAAAAAAATTTCAACCCATCTAATTGGGTATCTATAAAAATGGCTCCTTCTCATGGGTACAAAAAATCAAACAATTTTTATCTGAACATTAACACACTTATGAATTACTATAAAATATCAATCAAATTTGATTTTGGTGGGACGAGCACATCTGATTTTCAAGATTGAAAATTCGGCTACAATAGCAATAATTGCAAAAATGAAGGTCTGATGGTATAAATAATTTTCCTGCCAAAGGTATTTTTTATACTCTTTAGCATCTTTTATACAATTAATGTTATAATACTACTCTGTAAATAACCTTGAGACTAGAACATAATTAAAAAGTTGTTAAACAAAGTGTTATTATTCAAATATTAATACATGTCCCATCATTTATTCAATTTATATCCCTAGTCATATAAATATTAGTGTGATCAATATAGTCCAGTTTGTATTCATCCTTGTGTCTTATACAATATCTAAATTTTTAATGGGAAAGGTTGTAATAGTTAATCTATGTTTATCCTTTAAGTTTCTGATAGGTTTTTTTATTCACTGAAGTATCAATTTCTGAAAGGTATGGCCAATCGAAGGATTGATGACCTTTTTTCAGCCAAGGTTGATGTATACTACAGGTGAGCAATGATGCCGTTAATACTTAACATTTTACGATGCTGCAATGGTTTTCAAGATGTTAATAGCTAAAAACTTGATGTTTTTGATAAGTAGATTAAAAAAATACAATACTCATTGATTCATTAGAACATTAAGTTTGCACACAGGTCATTACTAATGCAATCAACCTTCATTTTTACTAACTGTTTAAACATGTTTTTTTTCAGTTATTTGCAAGGTTTAAAAGAGGCAGGTAGATTACCATCTGACAAGAGAGGTCATGAAGTTTCTGCTCAACACCTGCTCAAAAGTGGTATTGAGAGCCATGTGAAGAAAATATCAAATGGTATTTGGTCTGTACCATCTGAGAAAACAAAAGGACTGGAGTACACTGTAGACCTGATTAGACACACGTGCAACTGCTGGTCATTTTGTAAAGGAGATGTGTGTAAGCACATTTTGTTTGTGAAAATACTGGCAGTCAAAAATGGTATAGATATTTCTAGTTTGCGTTACCAAATTGGTAAAAGTATAATTGAAAAGGGCGCTTTTAAAAATGAATCTGAGCAATTTACAGTCTACGACAGTGATTTAATTTCTGTTGTTGATGTTAAGCATAGCCGTTGTTCCTGCATAGCCAGCAGTTATGGTGAAACCTGTTTGTGTGTGCTTGCATGGAAGTATGTCTGTACGGATACCAATATTGATGCTTCTGTTGAATCTAGTGATTCTAAAAATGACCAGTGTTCGATCATTGTGTCAGAGGAATCTATTTCTAACCAATCTTCTAAAGAGCTCATTAGAGAATTATATGAGTGGAGTGAGAGTGACGACTTTGTGGAAAGTGATGGATTGAGAAATGCTTTGAGAAGTGTTAAAAATGAAGCATTCCTAACATACAAAATAAAAACAAGAACAAAACTCATAAAATCTCTGCATCCATATAGGAGACAAATTGAAAAAAGTTGTAAAATACTCTCTGTGGACCACAAATATGAAATTTCCGATTTACACTCTAAACGACCCATTAGAAATACCCCTCGTGATAGTGATAGAGATTATGTAGTTAAAACAAACAAAGTTCGAATTGTGCCATACAAGAACAGATAAAATCAATGTTTTATTTGGTCTCTGCCAGACTTTGTCCGGACATCATGGTAGTAACAGTATGCAATTTCAGTGTTTCTTTCACTTCACACTGGATTCCCAGTAAAATTGTAAATTGTTTACTTTTGAATTTTATAAGATGTGTAAAAAATGTTTATCGCTGGAACCTACACATGTCTTACTTTATGTAGAAATTTATATGATTACGTCATTGTTACCTTTAGCTACAATGTTATAGCATTCAGCCAATCCCATGGTTTACCACTCAAATATTTTGATTGTTACAATCTATCACTCTTGCTGTTGTGCCACCATCTTGTTATCTCTTGGTGTATGAAATAAAACTATCAAATGGTTAACAAATTCTCGTGACTGAGTGATATTTCTGAATCGACCGTAGACGTTCCCAAATAGATTGTGGGTATCCCCACAATGTTCTAGAATAATAAAAAGTTGACAATGCAGTATCTGTGTGGTTTTACCAGTAATCAATCTCAATTTTCTGTAACGTACTGATGTAGACATAGTGGTCTACCAATAGGTTCTACCCCGGTATGCATTATTTGCATGCCAAAATTACTGAAAGTGCAGAATGTTCAATTATAATAGCACTGCCAAAAAATATAACTATCACCCAATATGCATGAAATTACTTTATTTATCCAATGAAAACTGTTCAAGTACAAGAATTTAGCAAATTTGAGAACTACCAGTCAGTTATATTCGAATTAATGATAAAACAAGCAGCCACTCGGCTGAGATAGTTCTACTGTTAACATTTCAATTAAAGAACTGAACAAATCTAAGAGAGGTCTACCCAAGGTAGTTTGTAGTTTTCAAGAAGTCAAAAAAAGTAAAAAGTTGACACGGACAACGACAGAGAGTTGTCTTTCTTTCGCTTTACTGCGCATCAACCCCTTCTTGTTCAGATTGAATGAGATCTGGTTTCATTTCTTCGAAAAATTAATAAATACAATTTAAAGATATTATTTATAACATAGAAAATACCAGAGGAGGTAATACATGTTCACAAATAAATACTGCATACAAATACAATAAAATTAAGTATTCTTACCAGTAAATTGAAGGCAATTTATTTAATTGAATTTATGTACAGGGAAATGTTAAACATGCATGTGAGATTTTTGATGAATGTTTGACTGCATTTTCATTTTGATAATCAGATTCAATAAACTTTTGTATATTTGAAAAAGCAACTTATTTAGATTGTTCTTTTCAGGTAATTACCCAAAATTAAAAAGGCTTAAAAAGAATTTAGGAATGGGCAATAAATTTATCAGAAGTTGACAGTTCAAATACAACATTAAAATGTATAAGATGTCACACATGCCCTTTAAAAGATGCTTAGATATTTAAACCTGAAGTTACATTCCTATTTTGTAAATATTTAAAATAATATATATGGATTACTATGAGAGATATTCGAAGCTACAAAAGTGCGCGAATAACAAGAAAACGACCTTGAAACTTTATTTTAGGTGGGTCACCTGAATTATTAGCCGAAGACCAACGAACAAACATCGGCGTGCTTTCCGCATGGCCCACTCCAATCCAAATCTGACCAATAGGGTGAAGGCAGTTCATCTCAAATCCCCGACTGCCGCTAATAAATATTCAGACAATTTGCGTTCACCACTTTAATAAGTACACATTTGGGGGTGAACTATCAGGTGAATAATACTGAACAAAATATTTGGTAAATGTTTTATGTCGTCTGGCAAGTCAAATACGCCGTGTGAATAGTATTTAGAGTAGAAAGCAGCGTACAATGTTGAACTAGAAATAGTGTTCTAACATTTGATTGTGGAATGATGGTCTCCGAAAATGATCGGAACGGTTCGGCAGTGACCAGGAAAGTTTGATTATTCGCATTTTTGGCCAGATTTCTCGTTATAAGTGCACTTTCGTTCCTTCAAATATCACTTATAGGAATTCATATATAGCATTTAACATTTTTTGCAAAGTTGGAATGCAACTTTAAAAATACATATTTTTAATTATTAGTATATAGTACTCATAACAACACTCATTATAATTACACTTCAATCTTAGTTTTCATATACTCACCAATGCAGAAGCACACAAGTTTCGCTTCTTTTCTGCAATGGCTTTCAGGACATTAAAAACAATTGTCATGGTCTGTCCTGCCATGCCATGGGATGCCAAATTTGCACGTTCACAACAATCATTTAAACCATAGGAGATATCTTTTAGAACCTCCCTGTGAATTCAAATAAAACAAGTCACTCATTTGACAACATGATTCAAAGTTTATTTGTGCGATTCATTCTTCTATTTAGTACGACTGAGATCTACTGGGATGGCAGAAATGATTTTGATGAATTTTTAGTACTAAATATGGTCATCCTAAATTGAACCATGAAACAAGTGCATGAGCTTGTGTATGATATGATTCTTGTTGTATGTGTAAAATTTAAAAGTGATCGGTAAGAGCAGAACAGAGATATGACACTTGAACTGCAAGCATGAATTACAACACAGAGGTGAGATTATAATGTGCGGATTATGTATAAATAAGGACTAATAACTTAAATAAAAAAATCTGACAGGTACATGTACACAATATCCAAAGACCCTAGAGAACCTTTATTACTAAAAAATATCAAGATTTTCACTAAATAGTGAAAATTGGTCTCTCACAAAAGTACAGCAGCTTACAGTATGTATCATTACATACCAGGGGGTAATGTTTGGCAAATAATGGGTCAATGCATGTGGCTTCATATTACACACTGATATTGGTACAATTGTACAAAATATTTTATTACTTTATACAAGAATGTATTTATTTTTGCCATCTGGTCCTCTGGCTTGGTTTTTTGGTCAAATGGTCTTGCAGCCTCTTCAAATGAAATTTCTGAGAAGCAGATGGTATGTAAATCCTTACACAAATCACCCACTTCTCCTAAAGGTAATAAAATTAAAGCATAGCAAATTAGCATAAATATAATATCATGTAGATGAATATGATGCATTACT